ATCAGGGCCCAGCCCAGGGAGGATCCTGCAACCAAGGTTGCAGCCCTTGACCAGAATCGAACCTGGGACCCTGGGACACTTTGGTCTGCAGGTTGACGCTCTATCCACTGAACCAAATCAGCTAGGGCTGAAAGTAAGTTTTGACAACATAATAAAACAAAGGAGGTACCAGCTTTTGAAGTTTATTCTCTAAATCCAGTTTGGTGTTAAGTTTCCTACTATAATACAGTCTATACTCTTGAAACCTACATTTAAAATTTAGGCCTGGCAGGTGTGGCTCAGTGGTTGCATGTGGCTCGCGAGGCGCGGTTTGCCAACCACGGAACTAGGAGGTCACAGTTCAATTCCCACCGTGAATTATGCCCAGCTTGTGGGCTTGATCCCCAGTGTGGGGAGTACAGAGGCAGCTAATCAATGATTCTCTCTCATCATTGATGTTTCTATCTCTCTCTCTCCCTCTCCCTTCCTCTCTGAAATCAATAAAAACGTATTTTTAAAAAATAAATAAAGATTTAGCATAGTGCCTGGCACATACTGAGTGTCTAAACATTGTTTTTACTCTTTCAATTTTCTAGATTAATGTGCTGGTACTATTAATATGCTATGACTATGAAACTTCGTTCTTCTAAATTAAGACTCCCTGAAACATAACATTAAAAAGAATGTCACTGACGTGATGCCTAGTATGTCCTATTTATTACAACTGGAAGTATTTTCTTATTTTTGTGTTGTCAGAAATTATCAAGATTATTAGAATTAGGTTAGAATTCTAGGCAACATGGTATTTATTTAAGTTCCATGTATTTATCCAAATGATCTTTTTTATAAGCTTTTTAAAGGCAAGAATTATCCTTTAAAAGTAATATTTGCAGGCTTTTATTATATTTTCCAAAACTACATAAATTAAGAAGCACAGCAAGCAGAACAAGAGCATTATAGCAAAACTTATTTAATAATTTGAATACCAGGCATCCTATAGTACATACAATAACTGGACTAGAAAATGGTTAAAAAAAAAAAAAGAATGAAAAAGCAGCCCAGTGTTTTTATTTTTTTAATTTTATTGATTTTTTTACAGAGAGGAAGGGAGAGGGATAGAGCGTTATAAACATCCATGAGAGAGCAATACTGATCAGCTGCCTCCTGCACACCTCCCACTGGGGATGTGCCCGCAACCGAGGTACATGCCCTTGACCGGAATCGAACCTGGGACCTTTCAGTCTGCAGGCCGGCACTTTATCCACTGAGCCAAACCGGCAAGGGCCAGAGTTTTTATTTTTAAACTAGAGGCCTGATGCACGAAATTTGTGCAAGATTAGGCTTTTCTTCCCCCGGCTGCCGGCACCAGCTTCCCTCTGGCACCCGGGACTCGGGCTTCCTTCGCAGCCCCGGCTTCATCCAGAAGGATGTCAGTCTAATTAGCATATTATGCTTTTATTATTATAGATCCTTACCTGAGGACATGATTTTACTGATGGGGGGGTTGAGAGGGCAGAGAAAGAAAGAGAAATGTTGATGTGAGAGAGCAATATTAATCAGTTGCCTCCCCCACTATGGAACCCACAACCTGGATATGTTCCCTGACCGGGAATTGAATCTGCCACCTTTGGTATATGGGATGATGCTCCAATCAGATGAGCCACATAGGCCTGGGCGCAGCCCAGTTTATAGCACAGCAAGTAACTAAAGAACAGTAGAAGAAGAACTGTGTCAGAGAGGTAAGTATGTTAACAAGTCAGGCACCTTAGAAGCTATTTCAATTTAAACCAGGTTGACTCTTCCTTAAAGAACAGCAAGACCTGAAAACCTCTACAGAATCAAAAAGGTTAATTTTATAGGTCAAGGTATATTATAAACAAGTCTTAAATATTAAATAAGTTATAACTAATATTTTGTGTGGTATTTGGTACCATATTTTTAAAAAACTTATCCTCTATATATATATAAAAGCCTAAGCGACTGGACAACCGGAATGACTGGTCGCTATGACGCACTCTGACCACCAGGGGGAAGATGCTCCCTAGTGGTCAGTGCACTCCCACAGCCAACCTCCTGTGGTCCCTCCCCGCCCCCCAGACGGCCAACCTCTTGTGGTTCCTCCCCCCGGCTGGCAGGCCCTGATAGCCCAATCAGGGTTGGCCCCCGGGCTGGGATGGAGAACCAGGGATGGGTGGCGGTGGATGTGGCTCCTTTCCCAGGGGAGCTGAGGGCTTGCTCTGTCCCTCTCCCTGGCCGGCAGGCCCCGATTGGCCCACTGCCCACCTGCTGCAGTGGAAGGTGGAAGACGGGAGGCGGGGAATCTCGTGGTGTCTGGGAGCTGACGATGGTGGCATCAGCATCTGGCAACCATTGCCTCCTCTCTGGCCTAGCCCTGATCGGCCTGGCCCCAATCAGCCCTGATTGCCGGCCAGGCCTAGGGACCCCACCCATGCACGATTTCATGCACCGGGCCTCTAGTACAAAATAATTTCCAAGAGTATGTATAATGTAAATGATGCCCTGTCACATTCTTCTGTTTTACTTTCATTATTCTGTATTTCTTATAAATTGGTTCAATCTCTTGAGGAAATTTGCCAATTGTTCTCAATTTAGTGTAAGTGAATTATTTTAACATAAATCACAGAACCAATCTTATATCCTAAAAATTTAAATAATAGAAGATAAGATTTAAGATTTCTCAATAGGTCAATATCTAATGTTTCAACTAATGTTTCATTCTCTCCTTTGTTAAATTTAGAGCAAAAAGAGATTTCGCTCCTTTTTATAAGTGTCTTAATCTCCCAGGGACCCTCAACGACTAACCTAGTCCCCATAAAACCTAAAGTTCTTTAAATTTTTTTCTTGTATATACTCATACCTACAAGGGTCCTCCATTTATATAACCCTCACACCTTGCAGAATCAAAATAATCTAAACTCATCTGAGTTACATCCCCCCTTTTATAAACTCCCTCAGTATACATTTTATAACCACTCAACAGTGTTAAGTCTGCCATGCTGCAAATGATTTTAAAACGTATCTAAAAGATATTCATAGCAGAAATCCCCCCAAATAATTCCACTTGTTAGTAAACTTTCTATAATATCATCACTGTCCCCCTTCCCACAGAAGCTTCTTCTCACGTAATCAATCCAACAACAGGTGCGAGAGAAAGGAAATTATGCTCAAGGCTGAAATGCACAAAGAGCATGACGGACTTTGGACCAAGGTGAAGAAGGATGTAGCTCAAAGAATTTGGGGATTTACATATTTTTTTCAAAAATAAAGCATACCTGATGATTACCCAGTTTTTTCCCACTAGACGGTCAGAAAGAATAAATATGACTTTAATATGGAATTCAAGTTTTTCATTTTATATTTTTCAATGTCACAATATGTTGACAAGAAGTATACAAGGGACAAAGTATTCCTGCTTCCATTATTTCTTAAAAGACCAACACCATGTAAATGAAAAATAATTGCTCATACTTACTCTTTCTGATCTTTGTATTAGTCATCTCACCAAAATTACAGGTTCAAATAAGTGTTAAAAGCAATTACCATCATTACTAATCATACTGTTCAAAACATTCACTTTAAGACAGCAAATGGTATTAATTCTTGGGCTATTTTCCTAAGTACAACTGAAGGTAAGGAGACTTAATGGAGTTCCTGCAAGTAAAACTATGTATATTTCTAGAATTCATGGCATCTCAAGATGTCAAAAATGTTCATTTTTATATGCCATATATTTATAAAATTAATCTTGAGGGGGAAAAAGTAAAGGGTTAATCAGCAAGAAGTGGAATGCAGAAGCATAAAAATATCAGATCTGTATAGCAGTATCTTGATTCATGGAAAAGAAAACCAAAGCTTTTAGAGGACCAAATGATGGAAATAAAAATACAGACTATGTACATTCAATTATGAATGAAGCACGTAGCCTTAAGTTTCCATATACAGTAAGTGTGGGACACAAGGGAAGAGGAAATACCCAATGTGAGCTGTTAGCATGAAGAAAAACCTGAAAACCAATACACTGTTGGTGAGATTTGACACTTGGAAACTGCTATCATTTAAGAAGATAGGGAAAGAGAAAGCAATTAGATACAGAAGCAAAGTAAATTTCCTCCAACTGTTCTGCTCCAAGTTTTCCTTGAAACAAAAATGAAAAGGCACACCTAAGCCAAAAACAACGGCATTCATTTGTTTGTTTTCTCAGCCCTAGGCATAGTTCCCGGCCATAGTTCCTGGCATAACTTTCTCTCAGGGGGAGAGGTATCTTTATTAGTAAAGGTATGGTTGTACTAACAAAGTATTAGCATATTTTAGTAATACCATGTGAATTATGTTAAAAATCTACACTTTTCTCAAATGTTAAGCATGAATTTAAGTATGAATGAGAACAAGGCAGAAGAGAAAAAATAGGGCTTTTTAAGTAGGTGGACCATTGATTACAACGTGAGG